TTAACCAATACTTATTTAATTGAACAATTAAGGCAAACTTAATATTTTTTATTTAGTTTATAATAGTGATATTTAAATAACATTTTTACTTTAAGTGAAAAAAATTTAATAACAAAACCAAGACAATGCACTTACATTGTGACAAAAAAGTACCCGGAAATTTAATTATTCACAAATATATTTTTTTGGCCTTCAAAGTAATCCCCAGCAGATGTAATACACTTATGCCAATGATTTTTTCAGTCGTCGAAACATTTTTCATGAGCAATTTTTGGGATGGCCTTCAGCACCTTTAGCCAATTTGGTTTTATCTCTTCGACCGACTCAAAACTGATTCTATAGAGCGACAATTTCAGTTTGGGGAATAAGAAAACATCATACAGAGCCAAAATCTGATAGTTGATCGATGGTATTCATTACATTTTTTGCTTTTAAATTGAGTCACAATCGTACACTTTTTGAAAAAATTCAGCTTAATCGGGATGAGTCGAGGAAGAAAGAGTTTCATATTCAAAATGTCTGCCAAACTCTCTTGCCGTCTCTTTAAACTTGCCTGACGATTTTCAAGCACCATATCCTTCACTTTTCTAATATTTTCATCAGTGAAAGATCTCTTCACCGTCTTTGAAGGCTTTGTGTTTTTTATAAAACTGAATCACCGAGACCCTATAAAGTATATATATAATATAATAATCAGTATGACGAGTTCTTGTATGGAAAACTTTAAAATTTCACAATGTATTTTCACAAAAGTTGACACAGGTTATTTTCTAAATCAACAATATAATCTCCGAAGAAATTGTTTAGGTCGATTGACTATAGCATATAGCTGACATACAAACTAAATGATCGGAATCAAGTTTTTGTATGGAAAACTTTTACATTTGACAAGATATATTCACGAAATTTGTATAGTTTATTTTCTAAGACAATAATGTTATCTCCGACGAAATTGTTCAGATCGGTTAACTATAGCATATAGCTGCCATACAAATTTGGCATAGACTATTTTCTAAGGCAACAATGTTATCTCCGACGAAATTGTTCAGATCGGTTAACTATAGCATATAGCTGCCATACAAATTTGGCATAGACTATTTTCTAAGGCAACAATGTTATCTCCGACGAAATTGTTCAGATCGGTTAACTATAGCATATAGCTGCCATACAAATTTGGCATGGATTACTGCTTAAGGTAACAATATAATCTCAAAAAAAAATGTTCAGAACGGATTACTATAGCATATAGCTTCCATACAAACGGAACGCATAGTTACTAACAGAAATGCACCTGTGAAGGATATTTAGCCATATTTAAGTGTAGCCTAACGTTTTTTCTTGGTTTTAAGCATTTTTCACTTGGGGAATTTAATTATAATTTCCGAGTGCAGTTTTGTCTTATTTTTTAACAATAGTTTTCGATTATTCATATTGTATTTTTTCTAAAGAATTAAAGTCATCCGCGGATTACTCTTTTATCAATAAACACAACCAAATGTGCAGCCTGGAAAACAACCGGCAAAGTTAAACACAGCTAAATTTACAGTGTGGACAACAACTCGATTTCAATTCGATTAAGAATTGATGTAGTAAAAAAAGATTTTTAGTGTGTACGGTAAATCGATATTTAACCCAGTGAAAGCCCGTAAATTGAACAATTTGCACCTGTGCGAAAAGGATATTTTATTGTTATCAGAATTATGAACTTAAGGAATAAAAAAAATGTATATTATTGTTTATATTATTTCATTCATATATCTAGAGATCGTTCTTTACATTTTTTAAATGTTAACTGAAGAAGTCTGTAATATTATAATAGAAATTATGCGGACGATACTGTATTAGAGAAGGGTCGCGTGGTGAGCGGCGATCTTATCGGCTGGCAATTTGTGTTGTAAGCACGGCACACTCGCCCAGTTGGCTCCCTGCCAAGCGATCTTATTAAAGGTTCGATCTTTATGAGGTCCTCTTCCGAGTGAAATGGCAAATTAGAAATAACCATGATAGCTTAGTCCACGACAAGACTATGTATTACATGCATACGTATGTACATATGTATATGTACGTCTCTTTTTCGAATGCAGATTTACGCTTGGCCCACTTCGTATTTCAGCTTTATGCTATACCATTATGAAATTATTAAATTTTTTAATCTACACAATTAGATTTCTTATGGCGCCAATTTTATTTCCTAATTGTACACACTGTAGAAAATCAAAAACATTCTTATCAATTTCATCATATCTAGCAACTAACCCATTTTCAACATGGTTTTATACTATTATGAATGGAAGTTGTATAAACACACGTGTAATATGTGTTTGAATAATTAAGATAAAGAACACTTGAAAATTAATATACGTTAAGAACTGCAAGTAATATTAAAATAAAAAAAATATATATGCAACACATACGTTATTCATGAAAATAAGCTTTTTCGTATTTAGAAATGCTTAAGTCAGTAATTTCAGAAATTATACTAAGGAAATATGTTTTTTAAGAAGAAATATATATTTATTTGTTGCTAAATTTTTAAGTGACTAACTTCCTCAGATTTTGAAGCAATAACAACTTTGGAGGTTAATCTCCAATCAACGCTTCTCCTCTCAAAATATTGCAATATTTTTATGTAGATTCTAGCATTATTGAACAACTCTAAGAAACTGTTGTTTAAATTTTCCTCAGTCTTCTAGTGATTTGATTTCTATTAAATTGCCACTAATAGTTTTCCGATTTCACCTTCCTTTCTCTAAGGTCTATGTGGAATTACTACACCTATAGCTAAAAACCATATCAATGCTGTCACTCCCGTAAAAACGTTTTCAGATGTTTTCGATGTATTGGTTTTATATTCGGTAAAGGACATTTCTCAAAAGTATGTACGCAATGTTTTATGCCACAACAAAGTTGTTTAGGTTATCATTTTCAATCTTACAAAATTTTATTGATAAAAAATAATTACGATTTTCGATGCTGAAGTATAGTGAAAATCACGGTTACATAAATTTACAACATGCTGAAAGATATCGATTATATTCAAAATAGATTAAAAACAGCGTACTGAAAGACCTCATTATTTCGATATGTGAAAATGTTTCGCGGCTTTTAATGAAACGATTAATATTCATTATTCTTCAATATTTATTTCGTCGCTATATGTAGTTCACTATGCCAACGATTTTTCCAGTCCTCGAAACACTTTCCATACACTTTTTTTGGAATGGCCTTCAGTTTTATCGCGACGAGTCGACCAAGAGCGTCTTTTGTACTCAAATTAACCACCAAAATCATCCAAAGGGTCTCGCAAAAGATGTCGAGCTCTCTTTCCATCTCTCTAACACTTGCCTGACGATTTTCAAGCACCTTTTTTTAATATTGTCCTTCACTTTTTTTAATATTGTCATTAGCTAAAGTGGTCGAAGATCGTCCAAACGAGTCATGTCTGCAACGATATCTGGACCGTCTTTGAAGGTTTTGTACTACTCGTGGGCTTGTGTTTTTGCAACACAATAAACCTTTTCCAACATTCGCAACGAATCCAGTACTCGAAATTCGGTTAGAAATACAAAATTTTAGACAAATTATTTGTGCAATATATATGTATAAATTACAACGCACAACTGAGGTGTACTGACTTAACAACGTGCTGTAAATAAACTGCTTTACAGATCGCGTTCATATATGGTATAGTAATTAAGGACAGACCTATTACTTACCAAAATTTACTTTTTGGAGTATAATTTACCCGCGAAATTTAATTACATTTTCCGAGTGCGTTTTTGTCATAATGTATATACTTTGCAGAGTCTTCGACGTCGACGTTTCCTTCTGGGTGTCACAAACTTCGTGATAAACTTTATATCCGCTGTTCAAGGTTTAATTACCGTGCTGCTGAAACCCTCGAGTAAATTTTTTTCCACACCGGAACGATAAGTATGTTATTTTTGAAAATGTTTTGAACATACTCTCTAATTTTAGTTTTTCTGTCTAATTTGCGATCTAACTGGATCCACAAAATAATTTCTGAAATAATATTTTCACATTTCTTTATGGTATGGCTTTATTTGTCTAATTATTTTATACAAATTTTATATAATAATAATAATTATAAGTATATATGTAAGTACATAATTATATGTAAGTAAAAAGTTTTCAACATCAGATCGCGCTTATGTAAATGAGAAAATTATCGAACTAAAGAACAAAAACTAAAAATAAGTAGAACGTCCCATTGACTAGAGTACAAGGCGGGATTACTGACGATATGCGCAGCTCGGAGACGAAGGGGCAAAATAAACTATACAAATACGAAATACGAAATACATAAATGTATGAATAATTTTAAAATCTATTAACGGTGTCTGGGGATGTTTTAAATTCTACAACAGCACCAGCCTTAATTGAAGAAAGCAACACATGGATTTGCTTAATTGTATAACTTAAGAATGTCAGGCAAACATGTGAAACGAACTGAGATGTATTCAGATGTAATTTAGAAACAACAGTCAGTCAATAAAGTAGGTACACAATAATGAAAGAAGGTTTTTGAGTTTGCTTTAAAGGATATACAAAAATTTATGCAGAGAAAAGCAGAAAAAATGCTCAAATTATTTTTGTACAATTTGCTGCTTTTAATTGAAATTAAGTTAGCACACCTACATACATGACCGACTGTATATAAGACATATTTCAAAGAAAACGTTAAACTGTTTACACTAATAGTTTGTTTTTGTTGTTGTTTTTTTTTTTTTTTTTTTTTTTTTTTTTTTTTTTTTTTTTTTTTTTTTTTTTTTTTTTTTTTTTTTTTTTTTGAACGCATAAGGGATCATAAAAACTTGAAAACTAAACTTAATTTGTTTATGCGTGTTTTTGTATTTTTTTCTTTTAATCTTTTCCTCTAATTAATGAATATCTACATATGCATATTTAACTGTTAAAACTTACAAACTTTTATAAATTTATTTTAGTTAAAATTCGTTATCCATTTGTTTTTTTTTTTTTTGTTTTTATTTACATTTTGGCTGCTTATCAATGATATAACGGTAAATTTTTGTTAAACTTACAAACTTTAATGTTAAATTTGAGCATTTCAACCAAACTTTTGTCGCTTAATTTTTGCTTTGTTGTTGTATTTTTTTTCTTTTTTGTAATTTTTAATTAATTTCTCATAGTACATGTACATACTATGTATGTTATGTACACCTATATAAGCCTTTTACTATAATTAACCGAAGTTTGCATCAGCAATTGCTCGGCTTTTAACACTTTCTCTCTTTTAGTGTGTGTTTAATTAACTTTGTGTTACTAATGTTCTTGCTAATAGAATCGCTCCATTTTGGGCTTATTAAGTGCACAAAAATAATACCCTGAATAGTTTTGTGATCCGGGTGAAGTGTAATCGTTGATGCCATAGCTGCTATAATCATAATTACTGCTTGGTATATGCATGTGCGGATGATTGTGGGTGTGGGCGTGGGCGTGTGGGCCATGTGAAAGGTTGTGAGCACCGTGGGTGTATGGGGGATAGTAATGTTGAAATGCGGCGCCACTTCGCGCCTTTTGTCATGTCAACAAATTGCTACCGCCATTGCCGTTGTTACTGCCGTTATTTTGGTTCGTTCCATGCACACGCATATGGCGATTCAAATTGCCCGATTGTGAGAATCTGCAAATATATAAGCAATCTTTTGTGATAATTTCTTGTAAAGTGAAGAGTAGCAGATATTATTACAACAATTATAAATTTATACAAAATCGTCGCAAATGTTGAAATAGTCTTCGTAGATCGTTGATGACATGCCTCATTCTAGACGATCTTAGACCACTTCAACTGATGAAAATATTAAAAAAGTGAAGGATATGGCGCTGGATAATCGTCGAGCAAAGAAAGCATGACATCTCTCGCGAGTCCGTTTGAATGATTTTGGTGGATATTTTGGATATGAAACCCGTTATTGCTGTACTTGTCCCGATAAAGCTAAATTTGTTTCACACAGAGTACCGTAAACAGATCTCTTTGGACAGCATGGTCGTGCGAATTCCAATCCCACATTCATGGAGAGCAACTGCCAATGAGACATTTATGAGGTTTATGAGTTTGAAGAAGTCAACAAACATCGGAATGGAGGGAAAAAAACGTGCAGAAACCAAAAAAAAACAAGCCGAAGCCACTCAAAAATTAAGGTGATGCTAATTGTCTTCTCCGATTTGGTGTATCATGAATTTGTTTCGGAGGATCAATAAGGAGTTCTATTTGCTCGTATTGAGGGAGGGGGAGGAAATTGTGGAAGAACAATCCATGAGTTTTACACGATGAGGGTGCATTATCAGCATCGAGCCACGATTGTGACCTGTTTATAATCAAAAACGCAATAAACACCATCGATCAACCACCGTATGCACTAGATTTAGCTCTTTAGGGTGATTATTTCCTGTTAACCGAACTTATTACTTCAGTTTTCAGTCGAGAGATATAACTAAATTCGCTGAAGGAGCTGAAGGGCAATCAAAAAAGTTCTTATGAAAGGTAGTTCGGAACTGGAAATAAGTGTATTAAATCTAGTGAGGATAACAAAAGAAATATTGATGAATAATTTTGTGTTTTATTTACAAGTTCCAGGTAAATTTTTTAATATAGTTTCAATAAAATTAAAAACAAGGCTCGTTCTATCGGTCGAATCGATACAAACTCTTCAGCAGGGGAAGTATCAATGTTAGTCTAGAAGAAAATTTTGAAAAAGAAAGACAGGCATACTTTTTTTTGTTTTTTTTTTTTTTGAATCACCTAACCAGTAATAAGAAAAGCCTTTCAATAATTGTTTGATTTTTCGTATTATTCTATAAATTATTCTATAAATAAAGGGTTCTAAAAGTGTAAGCGGGTAATTAGATTTGTATTTGGAGAAGAATTTTACAGTTCATTCTAAAATATACATATATATTTGTGTATATACAATTTTTTATTTCTAAAAGAAACTTATTGTTTGAACTCAGCGACTTTGGCCACAGTTAAAACAGTTTTCTGAAATATATCCATACCATATCTACATTTTTGGTATTCCTTATAGGAAGTTGTAATGTGGTTAAGTCCAAAGGCGGATTTGAGAAATTGTGTCGGGACTTCTCCAAGTCTTATTTTGTCCCTTTAACATATTTTGCCCGGTTTACATAATGTTTAAGTGCCAATAAGACAAAGAACTACTTAACCTTGCTGAAGATCACAATTTGTCGATTATAAAACGTTCTTCCTAATTGAGACTTTCCGAAACCACAACCTAGCGGATTTTGGGAAAGTATGTGGGTTTGCAACCGTACAAAACTAACTGACCTCATGGGACCATGGGTACACGGCGTGAATTTGCTAATTTTGGCTTAGAACAACTTGAAAACGATAACGATTTTTAAACAAAACTGTCGATTCTGATGTGACGAAAATCCACAAATTATTCATAATCAACCTTTACATTCACCTAAATTGACAGTTTGGTGTGGTTTTTGGTCTGGTGGAATCATCGGTCAGTAATTCTTTCGAAATGGAGCTGGTGACACAGTTACAGTCAATGGAGAGCGATATAACAGATCACAATAACCAACTTTTTATAGTCGTAATGGAAGAAGTTGACCTTAACGACACTTGGTTCCAACAAGACAGTGCCACGTGCCGCACAGCACGTGCAAATTGCGAATTATTGTGAGAAAAATTTGGAGATTCGATTATTTCAAGAGATTGTGTCACTGAATGGCCTCCCAAAGTTTGTGCTTCTCTCTTAAGCTTTAGAAGTTAATATTGAACGTGCCATTCATGGGACATACGACTAGATTTAGTGGAGAAAGTACTCGAAAATTGGGTTTATCTAGTTCCTTTATGCAAAAGATGTAGCCATTGAATTATGTTGTATCCAGAACTTATTTGTGTTGATTGTATTCCTTGAAAATTAGTATATATATTTTTTTACAAGAAATCATATCGCTCTTATTGGAAAATCCTGTATATGGCTTAAGAATTCATGTAATATACGAGCAATTTATTCTTTGAAAACTATTTAATTTTCACAAGTTTTTATAATGACGTCCTTCCTTAAGTTTTTCGGTGATATGCTACCACCCACAACTTAACTTCCACAACCCACTTGTTTACCATAGATACCTATAAATACTTTGTACATACCTGAGCAAACACAATTTACATTGATATGGCTTCTCGCCGCTATGTATACGCAAATGTTTTGTTAGTGTGGAACTGTCCGAAAAGGATTTCTTGCACGAAGAACAACGATATGGTCTTTCGCCCGAATGGGTGCGCATGTGCGTGGTGACGCTGGAACTTTGTGAGAAACGTCTATCACAAATTGGACAGCGGAATGGCTTTTGTCCGGTATGTGTGCGTACATGTGCCGTCAGATTGGCGGCCTGCGAAAAGCTCTTGTTGCAATCCGGGCATCTAAATAACGAATAACGAGGTCGATATTGGATTTGGAAGGAATAAAATAAAATATAATATATTATGTGCTTACCTGTAGGGTCGCTCACCCGAGTGAGTTCGCAGATGTGTTTTGAGCGTGCTTGGGCGTGCGTAAGTTTTGCCACAAAGCCTACACAGATTGGGCTTTGAGTCGGAGCCCTCCTCGTTGCTATCCTCATCGTCATCGTAAGGACTCTTCGTTGGTGATGCAAAGTCAGGCGCAAGCTCTGTGCCAGCGGCGAATAGATGACGCGATGTATCGCTTATCGGTGACGGTGAGTCCTCCTCGACAATGACGGCATCGGTGAGTGCAGGCAAACCACCAGCTCCTGGACTCTGACTGGATTGCTGCAGCGTTGGTGTGCGAAAATCGGCGGTGAAGGAATATGTGGCTGCGGGTGGATAATGTGTTGGACTGAGTAGTGGCGGATAGAGCACATTGACGGAGGAATTGGTATTTGGTGGCGTCCATTGCATCTGTAAAATTGTCTTAATTCAATTAAAGCGTTTAGATTTATTAAAGCTAAATTTAGCACCCACCTGCGAACATTGCATGGGCACCGTGCCTTCCGCGCCGTAGCCATGCATTGTCATATTCATGCTGACGTTCACACTCATGCTGGGATACATTGGTGGCGGCGGCGGCGCAACACTTGTGTTAATATGTTGACTACAGGTATTGCCAACGGACGCAGATCCACCTAACATGCCACTACTGCTGGGATCATAATAACAAGACGTGGGTGTGCCGCTGGAACTAAGTGAATTGCCATGTGGTGTGCTTTGCGTTTGACTTTGGGTGTGATGTGAGACTTGTCCGCCAGGTGAGACGAGCATCTGATGCGGATGGACGGTGTAGGAGAGCGATGCTTGATGCGGGTTTGTGGAGAAATTATATGAGGCACCGCACGGTGAAAAGGGGAAGAGGCTAGGCAAGGGATCGATGTCTAATGGCGGTAATCCGGGGAACGATGAAGCCATCTCATCGGTGCTCCAGTAACTGACCGCGTTGTTGCTATTGTTGTTGTGATTGGCAGTCGTATTCGTACTGCTGCTACCAGCGAGACTTACTTGATGTTGTTGTTGTAAGTGAGTTTCTGTGGATTCAACAATACCGACACCGGTTATAACACTCGACGTCGAATCGAAACAGGAGCCGCAATCGAAGTCGTTGGACGTCAACGATGAGATGGGCAAAACGGTATTGCCTTGACAGGACAAACAGCCAACACAGGAAGATGCAGCACACTCTTGCTATTAGGGCGATTGGACAAGGAGGAGAACATTGAAATTGTTTTGAATTGAATTAGAATTTTATTTGTAGTAAATACAACTTTTTTTATTTGCTGATTTTTAAATTGTTGTTTTCTTTTTATACCCTAAACATGTTTTTTTTAAATATGACACGAAGCTTTTAAATCGTTATGAAAATTCACGTTTTGTAAAGGATGTGTTTCAACGCGCAACTTATAAACAACAATTCGCATCACCATCAACAATCTTTACTCCCAGCATATGTTATTGGATAATATTCGACCGAATAGACCACGTCCAGCACGCAGTGAAAAAATATAGCAGCCATAGCTGAGAAGTGAGCACGAAGACCGTGGAAACTCGATTCGGCGCCGTTCGCAACAACTCGGACTGACGTATGTAACAACTTGACGTATTTTACGTCGAGATCTTAAACTGAAAGCATACAAAATACATCTTGTACAAGAATTAAAGCCACTCGACCTTCGCAAACGACATCGCTTCACATTAAAAAGTTGCAATAAGGTCCGACATTTTCGAGACAATTTCTTTTTCAGCGGTGAGGCCCATTTCTTGCTTAATGGGTAGGTAAACAAGCGAAATTGCCGCATTCCCAAATGAGCAACTTGAAGAAATGCAAGAGCTGCCATTTCATCCAGAAAAAATATCGGTTTGGTGTGGTTTGTGGGTCTTCAAAAATAATGGCAGTGAGAACGTAACCGTCAATGTCGCCCGTTATCGCGCTTATCATGACCGACTATTTGATGCCTGAAATTGAATCTCGTGATCCCGTCGATATTTGGTTTCAACAAGACAGCGCTATCATGATACACATTGCATCATTTAATGGATTTATTTATGGAAGACATAATTTCACGTTTTGGGTCTGTCGATTGGCCACCCAGATCGTATGGTATCTCACTGTTAGACTTCTTCCTGTGGAGATAGGTTAGGCCTATGGTCTATCCGAACAATCCCGCTTCGATTCAGGTCTTGGAGCAAAACATCACGAGTGTCATTCGTTAGTTATCAATTGAAATAGTCGATCGAGTCATCGAAAATTTGAAAACCGGAAAGATCATCTGAGAAGGTAATCTTCAAAAAATAAATGTCAAAAAATTTTTTTTCGAATAATGATAAACATTCCCCATTCAATTTTAATTTTCTTTGTTTTTTTCTTTAAAAAATTATGGAACCTCGAAATCGATTACCCTTTATGTATAAATGATCAAAATGCATATAAATGATCAGAATGGCGTGCTGAGTCGATTTCGACCATGAATTTTACATACATCATTTGCTCTTCAAAAAACTGCTCATACTTGTATATCGGAACCATTGATATCAGCTCGCAATAGTATATATCTTCTATTTTGATTGGATTATTGTCCAAGGCATTAGGGCAATTTCCAAAAATCTCCATTCAGATCAGATCACTATAGCATATACATATCTATACAATAAACTGAATGATAGGTTACAAGCATTTGCATGTGAAGCTTTTCCATCTGACGAGAGAACTTCATGAAATTTGACATGAGGTATTGCCTAAAGCCATGGAGTAGTTTTCAAAGAACTTTTTATATTTGTGAATGGTATTATAGCTACAGTGTAACCGTTTTTTTCTTGTCTTTCTTTCTTTTGTTTTTATTATTGCGAATAAGAAATTTATAAGACTGCATTTACCGAGCTATATTTTTATTAAGTCTATTCAAAGCACTCGTTCATTAATATTTTTTCAACACATAATTTGTACTTTTGTCACTGGTAAACATTATCCCAGTTCGTTACAAAATTACACCCAAATCAGGTATTAATTTCAAATAGCGTCGGTAGAACATTTTCTAAATCCTAATTTCTTTCTCTCTCTTTTTCCAACTTCACTTTGCATGTAGACAAATATCACTTCAAGCGTCTTTGTAAATTTTCACAACTTTACAGTTAATAAAATTGTTTAACTCCAACAAATATTAATTTTTGTTTTGAAAGCTCTGCGCTTGCCGCGTTTAATTCCGTTTTAACCGTTATCGTACCTGTGGACTATCCAACGCCAGACCGAATAATGGATTGTTGGGCACATATCCCGTTTCAGGTTCCACTGGACCGCCATTTGAGACATCGCACGATATGTACATAGCTCCACCCTCTTGATCTTCCAGGGAATCTGTAAAGAATTTATAGCAAATGCATACATAAATACATACAAACGTGTTGAATCGTGTTCTTTATTTTATCTAGTAAACTTTGGGGATGCTGTGAACAGCTAAATCAACCACTTTGCCATGCAGGTGGAAATGCTTTATGGACATATTTTAATATATACTAATACATATAAGCTGTGCATATATTTCTTCAAGTATATATGTATGTATATATGTACATATGTGACCTAAAATGCAAAACAACGTATTATCAAAAAATCGAAATTGATTTTTTTATTGTTTACGATTCACTACATCATATTATATGTATATATCGATTAAATTTTCAGCTTCCGCTGACAGATATAAACAATATATAACTATTTTATAACCACTATATGGCCATTTTATAACCACTTTATAAGCAAAACTCGAATTTTGTTTCAATATGAGAGTAAAGAGTAAAAAATAAGAGTAAGAGTAAAAAAGGCACTCATATTTAATGTAATTAATCTAAAAATACTACATATACCAAAAATTAAAATATGGAATATTTTATCTCAAAAATTTATAAAAACAATTTAAAATATCTAAAATATTTTGCTTCCTACTTAAAAAAAAGTTTATTCCACCAAAAAAAAAAAAAAATTTCACTAATAAATAATATCATTTCGATAAAAAAGTCATATTTAAAAATTGGAATTTAATTAAATAATTTTAATTTTTATAATTAGCCCACAAACGGCCAAAAGAAATTTCGAAATTTCTTCAATTTATCACCGTACAAATGCTGTATTGTGGCACTGTCGTTAGCTCCGCCTCAAAAACATACCCTTATCGCTTGTAAGCTTCCAACAGTGGCACATACACAGCAGAGCATGAGTATGCATGATGCATGTGAGTATATGCCATGACAATTGTTTTTGTTGCTTTTCCCTCGCCAATTCGTTAATCAAGCGCGGTGCAATGCACAGGCGCAAAAAGAAGTGGAATACACACACGCCCATACTCACACCTACAAATAACCACACAAGCGAATAGCAACCAATGTATGTTGCTACAGTTAGGTCCAGTAAGAATTACGTAGCTTAAATTTTTTTTCTAATAACGTAAGATATTGGTACTAGTTCTAGAAGCACAGTATCGTGATTATATTTATTTTCGTAATTTTAAAGTGAAATTTTCAAAGAAATTATTTGTTTTGTGTTTAGTAGATTCGCATTCTGTTTTCTCTACCTATTGGGTAGCAGGAAACTAAGTTGCATTTACGCTCACAAAACCTTCATTAGGGTGGTAAGTATTCAATGTCGTTTATATTTTCAATATGGTTTTAAATTTTTTTTTCTTGTAATGTTTGGGTTGATAAACGCCTCAAAACAGCTCATTGAACATTAAACAAATTTATTATTAAATAAATAAAAAATAAGAAAGAATTAAATGGATTATTACCTCAGTACTCAGTTCTTTTTCATTTTATAGTAAAGAATTTTTATAATAATAATACATTTTAAGATAATCGWTATATTCGAGACTATACTTTCATCATAATATTTAAATAAAAAACAATTTATGGTTTATTTAGATTTTTTTCCTTGAATGGAAAGTGTGTTAGTTTATAAAGCTTACAACTTCGCCATTACAAGCCAGTAATAAGAGCAGAAGTCTACTCCTCTACACCGCTTGACAAAAGTAACTCATACTTCATTTAGTCTACAATCTGAAATATATTTTTGTTTCGACATTTCTTTACTGGCGACGTTTGAGTTCTGTTTATTTCGATTCATCACTTCTTTGCTGGCGACATATGAGTTCTACTCTCTTGCCAAAAATTGTATGTACGAAAGTAACAACTAAGTTTTTAAGTTGTACGAACTCTCTCTATCAATTTTAAAGTGTATATCAGTTATTTGTTAGTTTCCTTAAATTTAAGGTTTGCTAAGGACTAGTAGCTCTCTGTAAGGCATGGAAGCTGCCAGTATAACCTAACCTAACCTAACCTAACCTAAATTTTAAGTTTTAAAGCAGACTACTATTAAGTTAGTTACCACTACTGTGGTCCGAGATTTTCACAAGAAAGTGGGGCTAGCTCAGACATGTTCTAAGACGAGATCCTGAGAAATAGCCGGAGCCATAGGATATGTATATATTAAATAAATAATTTCAGTGACTACATATATATCTAATACATATATATCAACACAAAGACTTAAATAAACTAACTGTGACATATCCCTCCTAAAAAGCAACGTAACGTAACGTCACTTTTCATAAGTTTACAAACGAAGAAAAAACGATATAATAGAAACCACTCATATTGACACAAAATTTGAATTTTAGTTATGAAATGGTTATATATTGGTTATATTTACGCAATATAAACATAAGCAAAAAAAACTGAATTTCGATTTTTTTTTTTGTGAAACGTCGATTTGAATTTTAATTGACGATATATACTATTTACTTCATAATATTTTATTTTTATTTATAACTTTCTTAAGAATTGTATGTAATTATTCGACAATTCCTACCTACCCTAATAATCACTTATGCGCTTACATACGTCCATACAGCGAAAAAAACATGGTGGATTTCATGGCATTCGTTTTGATTATTACTCGATACAATGGCCGCTGGAATTTGTAGAAACCATAGGCATAGTAACGAATGGCTTGACAGGAAATTCTAGTAAAACACACACCACTTGTACATACACATTAAGTAGAGCACATCTTACAGCTTATTAATAGGTAAAAATACTAAAATGCTAAAATGCTTACACTCACCCAGAATTATATTCAAGAGTTTGAAACTTTTATATAGCAATCCCATGACATGTTTCCTCCTCTAGGTAATGTGATTTGTTTGGTGGTTTTATTTCTAGTTTTTCTACGCTTCATTTTACGTCGATTTGTGCCGCCTGAAATTAGATATATTATATAAATTAATAAACAGTTTAACCGATTTTATGGTTTAAAGGCGTTAAGTTGTCAATATAAAGTGTATATTTAATTATCGGAAATAACTCGGAAAGATCTGATATCTAGATTGAAAATATGTTTTAAAATATCAAATTGTCGGCCATCCGATTAAATTGCAAATCAGGCTTTTTTCTGATTATATTAGTATGTAATTGCAAAGACCACTTAGTCTTTAACTGCTTCTCCCGGAGTGTACTGCTATGAATACTCTTAGAGATGGAGTATTTTTATCCATTAGGACGGTGAACAAAGAACCATAAATCTTCCGCAGGACCTTTCTCTCCAAAACTCGTAACGCCATGCACCATAGCAGGACGGGGAAGATGAGTAACTTGTAGTATATGGTTTTTGTTCGTCGAGAGAGGACTTCACTCTCCAATTCCCTACTCAGTCCGAGGCACCTGTTGGCAAGAGATATTCTGCGTTGAATTTCGAAGCTGACATTGTGGTTGGTGTTAATGCTGGTTCAACGATACAGGAAATTATGTCAGACTTCAAAGTTAGGACCGACAAAGGTGACTTCGGAGCCAAGATGCAAGTGAAACAACTGTTTATCTGATGATAGCAGATATTTCGTCTTGCCCTCGTTCCCTACCAGACCCATTTACTTCGCTTCCTTATCCAGTCTGGAGAAAGCAGAGCTAACGGCGCGGTTGTTGAAGCCAATGATATCAATATCACTGGCGTACAACATCAGCTGTACACTCTTATAAAATATTGTAGCTTCTCTATTCAGTTCTGCAGCTCGAATAATTTTCCTCTGGAATAGATTGAAGAAGTTACACGATAGCAACTATGAAACTGCTATAAAGAATTCAAATTCACCTATGTAATTATTCTTGCCTACCAAGTCCCCAAATTGTTTGCAAAAAAGAAATTTCTATTTTCTATTCCTCTTGGTTTTCTGTCCTCAAACTTTTCGCATGATTTTTCTAACGACAAGTAATATCGCACTTTAATTAAAAATTTCCGTTTCCTTGGCGTTTGAGGTAATTTACAGATTTTTTTTATAGTAAAACATACTATATACTATATGATCCACAGCTGAATGGAATGAATAAATCGACATGAAGTATTATGCCAGATTCAATAACGTCTACGAATTCAAAACTTATTATTCAATTATCATACCAAAAGCATTAGGTTAGAAATGTGTGATTATTACTTAGCGATTTATAGTTTTGAGATATTGACATAAGAGTTACTTCTACAATTACATATTTGAGCATGGAATAAGCTTAAACTTGAGCCAATTATAAATTTGCCAAGACATTTGTCTTCTGAAAGTTCTTGTATTTCGACTAATACAAGCACAACCAGTTGTTTTTCGATTAAATGGTGCAATCAAGAAGAAGTTATTAGAATATTTATACCGCGCTATTTTTCGCTATTTTCTATGTGAATTTTAGGCTTACCACATACATATATACCAACCATATAGTTATTGAAATCATGTAAAGCTAGCACCAAGAAGGAATTTATGATTTTATATTGGAGTATTCTTGCATTAAGAAGCTTATGTAGTTTGGATAAACTTTTTACCGCGTAAAATATATGTATACCAAAATCATATAATCTTGGCTTGATTTAATATATTTATTTATTTAATTTAATTTAACTTTCGTTTAAAATATGTGAGGAAATCCATTATTTCTTCTTAAAATTTGTCTGCATATGAAATCCTTATATTTGAAATAATAAAAAAAAATTTCAATTTTAGTATGGACCTGAGGAGCTGCTGTTGCTATACGAAACAATTTTTTTTAATCTCACCTTTTCTCTCTCTTGTCAGTGGTATCTAAAGAAAGGTTGAAGCTTCATCTATTGTTGAAAACCAAAGTTGCATTTCTTTGACCCACTGTCCATTTATAAATAATGAGAGCATTCAACCATCAGGAACTGAAAAGTTATTGGTGAATTCCAACTTTATATATCATATATACATGTATATACTACTGTGAGCAAAGAATAGTCAGAGTTTTTAGTTTAAATTTCGATCAAAATGTTTTTTTTTTTTTTAGGTTGATATGACTGTCGGCGACATCTGTGCCACAAGTCACATCAAAATAGTCATACGTGTTTCACATACGCTTGTCTTTATTCAACAAAGAAGTTATAATAAATTTTAAGTGCAGGATCAAATTTCAGGTGCCTAAAATGTTCAAATTGTTGGAACAGGCTTTCGGTGATAATTGTTTTTTGCTGGCAAGTGTTTTTGATTGATACAAATTATTCAATGAAGGTCTAGAAAGCATTAACGCTGAGCCATGTCAAGAACGGCTATCAACCTCAACACGGTCAACATGTTAATAAAATAAAGGAATTGGTGCCTGAGAATCGACGGTTAACAGTGAGAAATCTTACTGGCATTGTTGGAATTTAGGAAGGTTCAGAGAAAACCATTTTGAAAGATCAGTTGGGCCTAAAAAAAGTGAAAGCATAATGTACGGAATTAAAATCATAAAATTTTTTTCGAGAAACAACGTCTCTTAACGGTTGTGAAACAATGCTTTCCGACTACCAGGATGTAATTAAAAGTAGTATTACTTGCGATGAGTCCCTCTATGATTACGCAAAGGTGAACCGAAAAACCACTTCAAAAAAGTCAAAAATCAGGGTTGTATGGACAATTATTACAGTTTACTGCATTGATTCTTCGTGAGTTTTTCGCTAAGTCTTCAACCAATATCGTGCCGCAACCACCGTATTCGCCCTTTTTAGCTCCGTGTGACTTCTGGCTTTTCCGAAAATTCACTTTAACAACTGTTTCAAAGAAACAAGTCGTAGTCAGGAGGGACTGCTGCGATGTTGTTTTATATATATAGTTTTTAACCGGTCTTATAACATGAGGTCGAGAGTTGCTCTCGATGTTGTTCCCTATTATGGTTTCACCCACTTTAGAGAGTGGAATTCCAGGATTATATCTCAACAACTGAGGGACTAAAACGCCTATATACAGACATAGAGACAGACAAAGAAAGAACATGGCTGAATCGACTCAGATCGTCTTGTTAATCATTCATTTATATGCTCGATAGTGTTTAAGAATTCGTTTTAGAATTTGTTTAGAAACTTTCAATTCACATCCAATTTTTGTTGAGATGACTACGATTGTCAAAGTTTTTTACGTCGTTCTCTAACTTTAAGCTTGGATAATAGTTCTACTTCATGCATGCCCAGTCGATAGTGAAGTAATGAAATTTTGTATGATTTTGAAATAACACAGATTACTGAAATTCCATAAAGCTCTTATATATTGATGTCCTGGCATGGAAAATCGTATCCGAAAGCATCTTTCTGTATTAAAAATAATCAATTTGGTTTGGTCGAATTTTGCTTGCTATTAGTTTTGTGAGCGTTGACAGGAGTTGATTCGATTTTCAAGAATAAAAACTTTCTTAATTTTATAGCTGAATTTTAGCAGGTTTAACCAAACTATAAAAAGGCATATCTATGGTACAGGATTTTATAATTAACATCTCATATGGGGGACGATCTTTAAGCGGTTTTATCATCTTGCAAGTCGTAAAAACGTTTTTTTTTTTGTGAAAAAATACTGTCGAAGGAGCATTCTATTTAATAAATTCATTTTAATAAATAAATAAAAATAATGTTTATTTTCCAAAATTTAATGTACTTTGATTATCAGCAATTCAATATGAAAAATTGTAAATTTCTTTGATCCCGTAGCTGAACTCGAAGAGGATTTTCGAAAAAATGTGACTGCTTAAAGTTTCCTCAAATTCAAAAACAAAACAAAAATGTAGTATTATTAGAAATGAGTAGTCAAAGGATTTTGGCGGCTTCCTAAAAAACGGATTTTTCCATATTGCACCATAAAGTGAAATTATCATCAAATATCTTATACCTACGATTATTACCTGAAAAACATATAAGAAGGTCCTGTGAAAATTTCGAGCTGATAAATCTAGCCGTTTCGCCAAAATTTTTCTTAACGTTTCAAAAAATAGCGTTTCCGAAAAATTTGTTTATTTTTTTTAATAGCCGATTGCACTGAGTTAAAGATTTCATAAGCTTATATCTCCGTCACTATTTTTCGCATCAACTCAAACAATTTACCAAAATTTTTAAGTTCAAATATTCGAAAAATATTCTGAAATGTACATACGACATAAATTTTTTGAAATTTAAAAGTAGTTATAACTCCTGAATTCCTACCAAGAAATAAGTATAGTCAATTACTGAATCTGTGGTAAAACTGTGATCTGTTCTAAAAGTCTGAGAAAGCGTAAGGAGTGAAAAACCTTGAAAACTAGTTTCTAAACAAATATCCACTCTTTAAGGCTTTCACAAGACAAAATATCCATATCCTTCCCTTGGCGCCAAAGTTTAGCAGATTTTTGGTTTATTATTGGGTTTTATATTATTTTACAAAAAATAAAGCAAACAAAATCGAAACTTTTATAAAAAAAATTTAAAATTTTTTAATAACTTTAATTTTAAATTTTATATATTTTTTTTTTCAAAATATTTAATAACACAGGCTAGTATTTAACCATTCCTGATCCTTCTTTAAGCCAAATGTTTTGCAAGGATTTCTTTAAACATTTTGAAAGGTGAAAAAACGTTAAACTTTTATTTACAACGGTTTTAACTTGTAAAACAGTTTTTTTTTTTTTTTTAAATTCAGAAATCAGATAGAATTGAAAAAATTTGGAAAGAGTAGAATTTATTACTGAAAAATATTTTGCATTTTTTTTTTACATTTTATAAAAATTAAAAATA